TACCTATGGGGACCACCTCCCGATCTAAAAAATTTTAGTTGTATGTGATATAGATCATCTTTCATTAATAACTTTTTAATAAACAGTGACAACCAGCTAAAACCTTCACAGCATTACTGAGAGTGATGGTTTATATAACATACAACTAAAATTTTTGAGATCGGGAGGTGGTTCTCTTAGGTAAATATTTACCTATAAAAGTATCGAATTAATTTGTACACCTAATAATTTTCATTTTATTAAGTTGCAAAATATCAATCATAACAATATTATATATTATCAATGTTAATAATATAATTAAATATTATGTCACACTTCCCCTAATTATTCTCTTCTCTCTTGCTAACTTCATTCCTTTGGCTAATGATTATAAGAAAAATATTGCTTCCATATACATATAATATACGAGGACGGTCCGATAAGTACTTAGCCTCACCGCCCGATGGCGCCACTATCGCAAGAGAAATTTATTATCGTGTAGTACATTCTCGTAGACGGCTACTGTCGAAATTTCAGCCGAATCGGACTCGTAGTTTTGTTTTGACCGCGTGTGGAAGCGGGCGTGTCCGCGGATTTTAGAAAAATGGAAAAAGAGCAATATCGGTCGGTGATTCGATTCTTGTTTTTGGAAGGGAAATCGCGCAGCGAAATCAAAGAGCGCTTGGATGCTGTGTACGCTGACTCTTCTCCTTCGATGGCGACCGTCAAAAATTGGTTTAACGAGTTTCAACGTGGTCGCACGTCGGTTTTTGATGAGCCACGCCCAGGTGCCCCGAAAACGGCTACCACGGAGGATAACATGACAAAAATCCACGATCTCGTATTGGCAGACCGCCGATTGAAGGTGCGCGAGATAGCTGAGACAGTAGGCATCTCAAAAGACCGCGTGGGTCATATCCTGCATGAAATTTTGGGCATGAGAAAGCTGTCGGCGCGATGGGTGCCGCGTTTGCTCACTCCGGATAACAAGAGCAACCGTGAGACCACTTCAGAGCAGTGTTTGACGCTGTTTAAGCGCAATCCGAAGGAGTTTCTACGTCGTTTCGTGACCGTCGACGAAACATGGATCCACTGGTACACACCAGAGACCAAGGAACAGTCGAAACAGTGGACTTCACCCGGCGAACGTGCTCCGAAGAAGGCGAAGAGTGTCCTATCGGCCGGAAAGGTGATGGCCACCGTTTCCTGGGATTTACAAGGTGTGATCTACATCGACTACCTGGAGAAGGGCAAAACGGTCACAAGGCTGTACTATGCCGAATTATTGGGCCGATTCGACGCCGAATTGCAGAAAAAACGACCCCATTTGGCGAAGAAAAAAGTGCTCTTCCACCATGACAACGCACCGGCTCACACCTTCGCCCTCGCCACGGTCAAATTGGTCGAATTGGGCTACGAACTGCTGCCCCATCCACCGTATTCTCCAGATTTGGCCCCGTGCGACTTCTTTTTGTTTCCAAACTTGAAAAAGTCACTCGCCGGACAGAAATTTGAGTCGAATGAGGAGGTCATCGCCGCCACGGAGGCCTACTTTGCAGACCTCGAGAAAACGTATTTTTCAGACGGGTTAAAGAAGTTGGAGCATCGCTGGGTCAAGTGTATCGAGCTAAAAGGAAACTATGTTGAGAAATAAATCGCCACTTTTCCAAAATTTTCGTTTTTCTTTTGTAGGCTAAGTACTTATCGGACCACCCTCGTACATATGTAATATTTTAGGTCGATATCTTGAACAGATTCCAAATACCAATTTTTATCCATAAAAATAGACACTACGCAACAGTGTGTGACGCTCACGGTCAGTCGGTCGGTCGCGATTCGGTACAGTGCGATGTAAGTTGTGCACAACATGCGGTCGCGATAAGAAAAGCAGTCCGTCAGGGTCAAGAACACTCAACAGAAAGCGAACATACTTTCCTTTATCTCTACGTCTGTGAAGAAAAACTCCCAAGCGGCAAAAACACTCGATAAAGACAGCGTATATACCATTCTCTCTATTTCGTTGTTAGAGAGATCAATATCTTGAATAGATTTCAAATACTGATTTTTATCCATAAAAACATGTAGCGCAACATTGTGCTACTTTTACGGTCAGTCGGTCGATCGCAGTACAGTGACATTGAAAACGCTCAGTAGAGTTTGCGGATACACGAACCCCGAAATCTTGGTGAAGGGTGCGGTAGCCGAGAACACTCAGTAGAGTTCGTGAATATACGAACCCAAAGAAACAGAAGACGATTTTGATTGAACGCTCGAACGGGAAACAGACAATCTCGTTTGCTTAACCGTCAGAAAGCTATCAAGAAACGGAAAGCAGAGCGATTCGATCCGGTAATTTTCTTTATCAGTTCGAAATCATCTAGATCGGTTGCGGATCGATTTAATGCGTACGGGTGCCTCATTACATTCATTTAATGGATAAAGTTAAAGTAGTCCCATTGTGCAATATACAGGTTTAAGCGATATTCCCATTTCTGGAAACAGGCCTAGAACTTTTTTTTTCAAATATTTTTTAATTCTTTTATCACATCATTGCAAATCCGAATGTTATTGTATACGCATAATCATGTAATTGATTGTATCTTTTTATATGTTTCTCGTCATCTTGAATCACAATACGTCACACAATACGTTTAAACGTGTTAAATGACATGACGTGATATCCAAACGAATTAAATGACGTGATTTAAAGCGATTAAAACGTGTAGAAAAAATCTCAACTAATCATACATTTGTGTATATAAAAATAACATATTCGGATTTGCAATGATGTTGGATATCAGTGATGTCAGAAAATCTTTCTCTTTTTAGCGTAGTCATTAATTTTGGGAATAAGTAAAAATCACAAGGGGCTAAATTGAGTGAATAAGCAGAATTATCTATTTGGCTAATCGATATTTTGGCCAGAAATTTTCTCACGGTGAACTACAAACTCGAGTACGTTATTTTGATATGTATAAGCTGAAGCTTTCTTTACACGTTCTTTCTTGATGTCTTAAATCACGTCATTTAACACATTAAATGTTTAAATGCATTAAATAATATAATTTAAGACGATAAGAAATATGTAAAGAAAGCATCAGCTTATACATGTCAAAATAACACATTCAGGTTTGCAGTGTAGGCCGAAGTTCACATGCAGATCTCTATTATTTTCGCATTAGCCAACTAACAAATGATTCTATGGTTTGAGGTTTACGCACGGATTAGTTAAAATATGTGCAGACATGATTACACTCATGTGATTTCAATCAAGTCATCACACAGACCATATTACACGACTATTCCGGATATTAAATTGTTATATTATACATCATACATAAAATCACTATATTTGTTTTATCCATTAGGAATCAGAAATATTAAAACTAAAATCATAGCTCTTAACATTTCATGAATTTATATGAATTAAGAACACATGTTGACTTTGTTAATTAAAGTTTAGATTTTTATATTTAATTTTATTTTGTTTCGAATGTGATATTTTATATAAAAATGGATTGGTAAATGAAATCATGTCATTAAATTGACTTTCTTTTAATCTATTAGATTTTGTAGAAATACGAGTTTGTGATATGATATGCGTGTGCATGTGCGCGTCTGCGTGCGCGTGTGTGTATGTGTGACACATTATATAATATTAGATGATTGCATAAATTCGTGCCTGATTTTCATAAATGGCGTTAACTTACTGCATAGCGGAGCTCCGGTATTTTTGTTTGGTTATGTTGCACTGAATAGATGACAGTATCTTCTATCACTTTAGTGTCAGCCATCATTCAAATAAGTCGATTTGTGCGTAAAAGAAATTTTTAAAAATGGAGAACGAAAAAGTGTATTTGCGACATATACTATACGAATGCTATATGAATTTCAGAAAGAAAAATTTTGTCCGAAACTTTTTTTTTGATTCGTGATAGATGGCGCTGTAATCGCAAAAAATTATATTTTCCGCAATTCCCCATAAATGATCATTGGAAAGAGAAATAAAAGTGAGTGTTGAGACTGCACAAAAAACATTCAAAGTGTTTATTTGAACCATACTCCTGCTCTCCGGACAGTTAAAAAGTGGTTAGCAGATTTCGAAATTCAACTTGATGGATTGGTGAATTCAACTTGGAAGATCAACCCCGCTCTGGACGGCCTTCTGGCATTGATGACGACATTGTGTATGCCTTAGTGGAAGAAAACCTAATGATTACAACTGAGGAGATTGTTGAAAGGCTGAAAATCGATAGTTCGACCACGCCATTTAAAAAAGCTTGGATACGTTTCCAAGCTCCATATATGGGTGCCGCATCTCTTGACTGAAAGGAATAAGCTGAACCGCATGAATGTGGTCATTTCTCTTCTCGCACGTAACAAAAAAGAGCCTTTTTTAAATCGAATGGTAACAGGCGATGAGAAGTAGATTCTATATAACAACGTACAGCGAAAGAGGATCTGGAAAAAAGCAGCTGAAGGTGCAGAACCCTGCAAAAGTCTGCATCCACTGAAGATGTTGCTGTGTGTTTGATGGGATTGCAGGGAACACGTCGAAACAATCACGCGGACAAGTACTGTGAGCAACTGAGTAGACTCGATGCAACTATTCGAGAAGAACGTTCGGTTTTAGCCAGTCGGAAAGGCATCATCTTCCACCACGACAGACATTTTTATCTGTTCCGGTCTTTACAGAATAGTTTGAATGGCGAAAATCTTAAGTCTGAGGAAGCTGTCGAAAACCATCTTATGAACTTTTTTTCAAGGAAAACCAAGCTCTTTCTTTAAAAATGGAATCGATAAGCTTGTAGATCATTGGAAGAAAATTGCAGAGAAGAATGGAGACTATATAATTGATTAATAAAACTTCTTTACAATTTTACAAAACATTTCTTTACACAACATCCTTTAAAATTTAACCTATTAAAGTTCATCTTTAAATCGGGCACGAACTTATACAATCATCTAATATATATCTTAAATATAATCATGGGACATCTTTTAAATTAAAATATCCTTAGGAAAAAGTGGATGCAGATCCGAATCCAGCTCCTGGAAATAGATCCGAGTACGATTATCCATCAACTGGTAAGAATTACGGACAAAGTTTCCTGTGTATCTCTGTGGACGCCAATCAGTTCGATCTGATTGGTGAACAACTAATATACAATCAGGTAACAGTATACAAAAAAAATATACCTGAGAAGTACGACAAATTATTTCCGAAACTCACGGACGCTGCTAGACAGAAGAAGATCAAAGAACCGCCTTATAATAGCAAAGTACTATTGAGATCATCTGGTTCCGTGCAATTCTGGTCGTTCGCTAAAAGCGATAAATGGCAAAAAGGTAATTTTGATATAATGCTTTTAAAATAAAAGTGTTTCGATATATCTTTTGTCCTCTAAATTTTATTTTATATAGATCACTACATAAGTTTTGCAATACAGCTTTCTTAATTTATTTTCATTCAAAATAATCTCTATTACAATCTTTACACTTCTTCATATTAATAAACCAATCGGTAAAATCTTGCTGTCACTTTTCTTTCGATAAATCATGCCTGATTCCATGCTATTAAAAATTCTCCATTGCTACTAAACTGTTGCCTTTTTAATTTCGCATATTTGTCAGCATAATATATACTTACAAGGAAAAACATGGAAACGTCCCCCTCCGATTCAGATGAGCTTGAAATATGTTGTAATGTAGACTAAAATAAGGGACACGTATTTCTTATACGTGCCCAATCGCATATTTAGAGGGCGAAACACCTCTTTGAAGGAAAATTGGTTTTTCTCTTTCGGGGCATGCACCGTCAAAAATATAAGAAATAAAAAAACTCTTTTAACAAAATTTTAATTGTTTGAAGAGTATTTTATAATGGCGTTTTCTGTTTAAAAAAAATGCTAAAATATTAAACATAACCCCACCACTCACCAATTTTTTTTATAATTGAAAAATTTCGTTTCCACGAAAGGAAAGGATAATTTATTCCGAATTCATCCACGTATGATAAAGCTATTTTCCGATATATGGACTTTTCAAAAAATACGTGAGAACACGTCTATATACCCATAACGCCATATGTAGTCGCCTGTTCCACGCGATACGTATACGTAACACGTCTCTTCGAACTTCCGCATAGTAAGAGACTGGAAGATAGTACTGATATGCAGAATATATAATTATAAACATTTCAATATATGACAACAACAATAAAATTAATTATTTTATGCACGACAATAGTCATATTCTCACATTTTGTTTCTATGAAAATATATACAGGGTGCATGATTTATCTGAAGACATTGAAATATCTCGAGAACTATGCATTGGATAAAAAAAAGTGGTTAATGAAAGTTGTTAGTCTCGAAGGGGGACATCCAATGATACCAAACTCGACCTCCCACCCCACCCCCTGGGGGTGGGGGTTGGGGGCAACTTTGAAATCATAAATGGAAACCCCCATTTTTTATTGCAGATACGGATTCTACGCCACAAAATACGTAAATTTTGTCCAAAACTTTTTTTTTGATTCGTGATAGATGGCGCTGTAATCGCAAAAAATTATATTTTCCATAATTCTCCAGAAATGATCATTGGATTGAGAAATAAAAAATACCTGTTCAATATTTTTAAAGAACATAATAAAAGTTATTCCCCCCATCCTCTCGGGGTAGGGTGGGTGGTAACGTTCAAATCTCAAATGGGAACCCGAATCGAAGAGGGAACTGCTCGACGCGCCACTGTGGGTGTATGGCGAACTACAGCTTATTATAAGCCGTATTATAAGCTTATTTACAGCGCCATCTATCACGAATAAAAAAAAAATTTCGGACAAAATTTACGTATTTTGTGGCGTAGAATCCGTATCTGCAATAAAAAATGGGGGTTTCTATTTAAGATTTCAAAGTTGCCCCCAACCCCCACCCCCAGGGGGTGGGGTGGGAGGTCGAGTTTGGTATCATTGGATGTCCCCCTTCGAGACTAACAACTTTCATTAACCACTTTTTTTTATCCAATGCATAGTTCTCGAGATATTTCAATGTCTTCAGATAAATCGTGCACCTTGTATAGATTTATCATAGATTGAGTTGTCATAGATTGATTAATGTTTATGATTATATATTCTGCATATCAGTACTATCTTCCAATCTCTTATTGTGCGGAAGTTCGAAGAGACGTGTTACATACACGTATCGCGTGGAACAGGCGGCGACATATGGCGTTACGGGTATATAGACATGTTCCCACGTATTTTTTGAAAAGTCCATATATTGGAAAATGGCTTTATCATACGTAGATGAATTCGGAATAAAAAATCTTTTCATTTCGTAGAAACGAAATTTTTCAATTATAAAAAAATTCGTGAGTGGTGGGGATATGTTTAATATTTTAGCATTTTTCTAAACAGAAAACGCCATTATAAAGTACTCTTCAAACAATTAAATTTTTGTTAAAAGAGTTTTTTTATTTCTTATATTTTTTACGGTACATGCTCCGAGAGAAAAAAACCAATTTTCCTTCAAAGGGGTGTTTTATCCTCTAAATATGCGATTAGGCACATATAAAAAAATATGTGTTCCTTATTTTAGTCTATATTACAACATATTTCAAGCTCATCTGAATCGGAGAGGGACGGTTCCATGTTTTTCCTTTTTAGCTAAATAAACTACACTCAACTAATATATACTGTATTTAACTAATATATAATATATATTTAGCTAAATTAAGGATTCAAGAAAATGGTCAAAAACATAAGCAAATTTCAATCAGTCGTAATTATGTTTAGAGAAATGGAAATCCCTTCTCTTTAAATCAGAGAAATGTATTTTGAAACTCAAAATCTGTGTTTTCCAAAAGTTGCATTTGTTCGCACTTTCTTCAATTATGATAATTTTAACATACATACAGGAAACAGTTAAATCTACAAAATGGGAAATTTTTTTATTGTTCTCTTAGCATGTCATGTACACAAAAGCAATCAAAAAGAACTTTCTGCCTCTTTCTTGTGAACGCTTGAAGTTTTGTAAAATCTGTAAAATCGTTTCCTTAGATTTTTATTTTGATTTCTTTCTACCGAGTAATCAAGGATATAAAATGTCGATTTTTACCTATATTCATTGTCCTTCCTTATCTGGCGGAAGCCTCGATGAAGGATTCCTTAAATCTCCAAAGCCTACCTCCCTTATTTCACCTACCTACCTTATCTACCTTATTTCATAAATGGATCTCGAGTCTTCCATCTAGAAGGAAGGAAGGAAGGAAGAAAGGCTGCCCTTATGAAAAAAAAACCCTCAATTTTGGGTGTAAACACTAAAATTTGGGTGTTTATGAAACTTGAGTGTTAACCGTCAACATTCGGTGTTAGTTGAGTGTTAAGCATCAATGTTGAGTATCGGTTGGATGTGATTACCAAATTTTCGGTATAACTTTGATGTAGATTCTCAATATTGAGTCAATTGGGTGTGACCATCAATATTCGTTGTTATCTTCGTGTAGACACTCAATATTGTAAGATAAGAGGTAAATACGAATTGTAGGATTGATAATATTTAATGCAGGAAAACAAAGAATACTTTAATGCAACAAGACAAAAAGAATACAAATATATACTGCGCTAACTTCTCAACGACTCAGAGTCAACAACTCGACTGCTCAACTGCTCAACTGCTACTGCCTCCGTCGCTGCTCAATCTCTGGCTTTTATAAGTTTTCAGCAACAAAAGCCGAGATTTTTCTAAAGAAAAGTAGGCTCCTTTGTTTTCGTTGACTGTTCGTCGCGGTGTAGCACATACGCATCGCCGACTTGTCATCGACTCGCGAGATCATCGCGATCGCCGCTTTGATACGCACCGCTGATGTCGATAGTCGTTTTCGGTACTATTCAAAGCTCCAATACTACAATATTGGGTGTCGGTTGGGTGTAACCATTAATATTCGTTGTATTATTTATGTAGACACTGAATATTGAGTGGTTAAGCATTGGGCATCAGTATTGGGTGTCGATTAAGTATTACGTCGCCGCAGCCACCGCCCCCAGCCGGGCCCCGACAGCCGCCCCCGAAGGCTTCCCAGCTCCCCGCATGGGCGCAATCAATAGGGGCCGCCGTGCCCGGGCCCAGCCGCAGAAGCATCGGCCGCAGCCGCCACCGCGACTCATACATCAGCTGCAGCTTCGCCAGTCCCTCTGCGAGGGTAAGACTGGGACACCGATGAGTGCACCCCCGAGTTTCCTCAGGAAATAGCCCACCCGGAAAACCCCTTCTTCAGAGACGACCTGAGCCGGTTCACTCGACGTACATATTCTCTCCGGCACTGGAGGGGGGACGGCCCCAGCCGCCACCGCCACAGCCCCACTCCTTGGAGGACCTGCGCCGTCGCCAGCCCCCTCCGGACCCCACCCCTCACACACACATTCATACATGCATACCAGGTCGGATACCTCCATAGGCTGACGATTCCGACCCCCCGAATTTGTTCTTCGAGGTTCTTTCTTCCTCCTTGTTCGGTGGTCTGGGAAACCAGACTCACGAGCTCGAACACCCGATCGGTTTTTTACGGAGTTGCCTCTCCGGTTTGGTCGCCAGACAGGCTAACGAGCCCAACCACACGACCGGTTTTATTCGGAGTATCCTCTCCGGGTTTATTAGTCAGGGTTCTTCTTTCTCTCTAGTTCGGATGTCTGGACTCGCAAGCCCGAACGCCCGGTTTGTACGGAGTTTTCTCTCCGTTGCGGTTGCCCCAAAGCTTACGAACCGCACGCTCGAGTTTGATATTGGGGTTCTTCCTTCCCTTTACCTCGGTCGCTTGCCCACGAAGTCAAACTCTCGAGCCCTCGCCCGGGTTTGATGTCGGAGTTTCCCCTCCGGAATAGGTCTCCCTAAGGCTAACGAGCCCACTAGCTCGGGTTTTTCCTATGGGTGTCCTTCCCCTCGTCGGATTGTCTGGCAACCTTCCAGACTAACGAGCCCGATGCCCGGGTTTTTCCAATGGGTTTTCCATCCCATCGTTCGGTGTCTGACTACAGACTAACGAGCCCGATCGCCCGGATTTGCTAGTCAGGGTTCTTTCTTCTCTCTAGTTCGGATGTCTGGACTGCCAGACTCACGAGCCCGAACGCCCGGTCAGACCGTCAAAAGGCTCCCGGGTTTTCTATTAGGGTTATCCTTCCCCTATTCCAGGATGTCTGGTCCACCCAGACGCGAGCCTCAACACTCGGATTTTATCCGGAGTTTTCTCTCCGGATTGGATCACCGGCCCAATCACTCCCGGAGATTTTGCGCATGGTTGTCCTCCTTAGGGTTTGTTACCGAGGTTTTCCTTCCCCGTGACGGTCACTTATA